TAAAAAAAATGTATCTCCAGGGAAAATACGCAAAGAAAGAAAAGTGGTGGCACTTGTAGTAGTTTAATAACAGAAAAAAAGTCTTGTGCTTAGCAAAGTATCTGTTTATTTTCAAAGTAGTTGTATTATTTATTTTCTATTTATTATTCTGTTACAATAGATAATAGTTATAGCAATTATTTGTTGATTTGTAACAACTTGTTTTTAACAAAACTTTGTAGCATGGAAAAAATTTTTCATCCACAAATACAAACATGAATAAATATATTCAGAATGTTGGCACCTTGATGTTGGCTTTATTTGCTTTCCTGAGTAGTCGTCTTTCTTGCTACCATCAGAAAATAATGTTATCATGTGGTGCAGAGCCAAATGCTGAACTAAATCATTTTGGACTTCTTAGAGCTAGAAGAACTGTGGACCACTGAAGTAGAATTATGTAGAGTAGAGATAGAATTGCAGTGTTTGCACAAGCAACACTGTTTGCATAAGAATACATGTTTTCGTCACAATGGATATACATTTCTACAAGGATGGTAAGGACCTTACAACTCTCCTAGACACAATTTGCAGAAATCTGACTACTTCTTTGATACTGGAGGCAGTTTACTGTTGACTGAACCTTGTCCATGTTTGGCTTAAAACTGAGCATGTAGTATATAAAAGATATCTTGGAGCAAAAAGTAAGGTTCTAAGCTACAAAGAAAATTCTTTTTTTTTTTCCATTTCATTTTATTTTATTAGTATACTTTAAGTTCTGGGGTACTTGTACAGAACATACAGGTTTGTTACATAGGAATACACGTGGCATGGTGGTTGGCTGCATCTATCACCCTGTCATCTACATTAGGTAATTCCCCTAATGCTATCCCTCCCCTAGTCTCCCACCACCTGACAGTTCCCAGTGTGTGATGTTCCCCTCCCTGCGTCCATGCGTTCTCATTGTTCAACTCCCACTTACGAGTGAGAACATGTGGTATTTGGTTTTCTGTTATTGTGTTGGTTTGCTGAGAATGCCGGTTTCTAGCTTCACCTATGTCCCTGCAAAGGACATGAACTCATCCTTCTTTTATGGCTGCATAATATTCCATGGTGTATATGTGCATATTTTCTTTGTCCAGTCTATCATTGATGGGCATTTGGGTTGGTTCCAAGTCTTTGCTATTGTGAATAGTGTTGCAATAAATATATGTGTTCATGTGTCTTTATAATAGAACAATCTAAAATTCTTTGGATATATACACAGTAATGGGATTGCTGGGTCAAAAGCTATTTCTAGTTCCAGATCCTTGAGGAATCACCACACTGTCTTCCACAATGGTGGAACTAATTTACACTCCCACCAACAGTATAAAAGTGTTCCAATATCTCCACAGCCTCTCCAGCACCTGTCTCCTGATTTTTTTAATGATTGCCATTCTAACCGGCATGAGATGGTATCTCAATGTGGATTTAATTTGTATTTCTCTAATGACCAGTGATGATGAGCATTTTTTGCATGTTTGTTGGCTGCAAACATGTCTCCTTTTGAGAAGTGTCTGTTCCGAGCCTTCACCCACTTTTTGATGGGGTCATTTTTTTCTGTAAATTTGTTTAAGTTCTTTGTAGATTCTGGATATTAGCTCTTTGTCAGATAGGTAGACTGCAAAAATTTTCTCCCATTCTGTATTGCCTGTTCACTCTGATGATAGTTTCTTTTGCTGTGCAGAAGCTCTTTACTTTAATTAGATCCCATTTGTCTATTTTGGCTTTTGTTGCCATTGCTTTTTGGTGTTTCAGTCATGAAGTCTTTGCCCATGCCTATGTCCTGAATGGTATTGCCTAGGTTTTCTTCTAGGGTTTTTATGGGTTTAGGTCTTATGTTTGAATCTTTAATCCATCTTGAGTTAATTTTTGTTTTCAATATGGCCACTCCAGTGAACTGTCCATGTCTTATTCTTGGACTGTCCACTACTTAGCCTGTGTTCCAAAAGGATGAGCGGCTTTCTGGAAACAAAATGGTAAATGAAATCTCTGGGGGAGATTTATAGGGTGTGTTTTCACTGGCACATCCATCAGGTGAGTAAAAGTTATAATATGAAACAATTTGACTTTCTAAGAAAGGAACTATAGGGTAGTGGTTAAGGCCGTGGACTCTGTAGCCAAACTTCTTGGAATCCCAGCTCTCCTACTTACCTGAGCAAGTCACTTATAAGTCTCCATTCCTTAGTTTTTAACCTGTAAAATTTGAGTAATTTACAGTACCTTTACAGAAGGATAAAAGTGCCTTCTTCAAAAGGTTCTTGTCCACATTAAATGGTCAGATTTATTTAAAGCCCAAGACCTGCATCTCACATTGGCTGTTATTTTTATTTTTGTCTCTTACTTCTAAGCAAGTAAACCATTCCAGGTCCTCTGTACTCCTACTGGGACATTTGCTTTGTACACTGAAGGAACTGCAGTAATTCAGTTATACTGTTTTATCCTAGGACATTTGTGAGGAAGCTAGGGTTAGTTAGGGTTGTTGTCTGTGACTGAGAAGCATAGTAGCCCCAGCCCCAATCCTCACCCTAATCCTAACATTTGAGGGTAGATCATATCAGGATTTATCTAATTCACACACATCTCTTCTCATAGTCCACCTCCGTCTGTAGGCTCTGTACTGCTCCAGGACTAGTCCTGACCTTGGGCAAGAGGAATTTGAATAGCTCTTGTCTGACGTTCTGTTCATGAACAAATAATTTGAAAAGTTGTCTGGACTATCTGTCCTGCCCCATTCTCCATTTCTGTAATCTTCCAGATCTTGGTTATTTCATTGTAGTTAGTTCTTGTCCGATGCTGTTTTTATCTCTCACTCCTACCTATAGATCTTTCTAAATACCAGTTAGGTGACTAGGGCTCTGCCTTCTACAACCAATAACTGATTTTCCAAATTCCTCCTATCTCCCTGTGTAAAATTCTGAGCATTTTTGCTCATAGGTTTTATGTCACTGTTGCCATATAATTTTCTAGATGCTTCTCGTTTTCTTCTTTTGAGACAGGGTCTTACTCTGTTGTGCAGGCTGGAGTGCAGTGGTGTGATCACAGCTGATTGCCGCCTCAACTTCCTGGGTTAAGTGACCTCCCACCTCAGCTGCCCACATAGGTGGGGGCCACAGGTGCATGCCGCTTGTGGCTAATTAAAAAAAAAAAAAACTTTATAGGCCTGGCGCAGTGGCCATACCTGTAATCCAGCACTTTGGGACGCCCAGGTGGGCAGATTGCCTAAGGTCAGAAGTTTGAGACCAACCTGGCCAGCATGGTGAAACCCTGTCTCTACTAAAAATACAAACATTAGCGGGGCATGGTGGTGGGCCCCTGTAATCTCACCTACTTGGGAAGCTGGGGCAGGAGAATCACTTGAACCCAGGAGGCGGAGGTTGCAGTGAGCCAAGATCGCGCTGTTGTACTCCAGCCTGGGCAACAGAGTGAGATTTCGTTTCAAAGGAAAAAGAAATTTTTTTTTTTTTATAGAGACAGGGTTCTCACTATGTTGCTCAAGCTGGTCTCAAACTTCTGGGCTCAAGTGATTCATCCAAGGCGGCTTCCCAAAGTGTTGGGCTTATAGGCATGAGACACTGTACCCAGCTTTCTGGATCCTTTTCTACCTCCTCTAATCCTGCGTCTTCTGTCACTGTCTTCCAGCCTGTGGTCTACAGAATATCTTGATCTGCCCATGGTACTGAACTTTCTCCTAGTATGTAAAGCAGCATGTCTTCTTTACCTCCAACTGCTCGCTGGTACTGTTGCTTCATCTAAGTGGGTAGGGCACAAATGCTGTGTTCATCAGAACTCACTTTACAACCTCTCTTACAGTTACGTTTGGTCATGTGACTGAATTATCACTGAAAGAATGTGAGTAGAAGTGATGTCCACCCCTTCATGTGATCCTCCGCACCTTCCCTCTTTTCCCATATCTACTGTCTGTTAGACACAGAGGCTCTAACAGAGGACTCCAAGGCCATACAGGAAAACAGAGCTATTATAGGATGCAAGAAGCCTGGATCCCTGAATGACCACATGGAAGGCTGCCTATTGACTATGCATAGCCAGTCTGGACTTTGTGCAAGTAAGAAATAAATTTTTATTTTGTTAAGCCACTGAGATAAATATATGTAGCACTGAGTGTTATCACACTTCATATAGTGGGCCTGTCTAAATCCAATTCTTAGCTATTTTGTCCGTTTTTGTTGCAACTATCCAGACAGGCTTGACTCAACTCTTCCAAAGCAAAATACCTCAAGTGTAATCTTTGATCTTATGAACACTAAGCTTTAACTGATACAACCATATGCAACCCTTCCACATTCTTTAAACAATCGTAGAACAGTGATCCTTAGACCTCTTTGAAAATCTGACAGAAACTACAAATTGTTTTCCAATAAAAAATCCCCATAAATACAAAAATACCACGTAAATACCTGAGAGTTTACAAACCCCTAAAGAGCATCTCAGGATTTCAGGATAACTCCTGCTATTGGATTCAGTGATGGATAAAAGTCAGTCTTATACCAGTCTTCTCACAGTGAATTGCCCTCTCTTCAATATGAGTTAAAAACATTGATTAGTGAATTTGGCTACAAAATAAGTCCACAATAACAACTTAGTCTTTCTGCTTCTATATTTATTTAATTTTGCCTTTTACTAGATGAATTTTTCTTCATCTCCTATGTAGTTTTTCTTTAGGGAGAAAACACGTTTGACTCAGGACAAATTTTTGTGACAAAGATTTTTCCAGATTTCTCCCAATTTCAAACTTTTCTTGCTTGCTTTTTTTTTTTTTTTTTTTTTGAGATGGAGTCTTGCTTTGTCTCTCAGCCTGGAGTGCAGTGGCGCAATCTTAGCTCGCTGCAACCTCCACCTCCCTCAAGCGATTCTCCCACCTCAGCCTCCCGCGTAGGTGGGATTAGAGGCACGTGCCACCACACCTGGCTAATTTTTGTATTTTTAGTAGAGAGAGGGGATTTTACCCTGTCGGCCAGGCTGGTCTCGAACTCCTGCCCTCAGGGGATCTGTCCACCTCAGCCTCCCAAAGTGCTGGGATTACAGGCGTGGGCCGCTGCACCCAGCTACTTGCTTGCTATTTTAATAGGGAGGCAATATTGCCAGAGCTTGTCTGCAAAGTAGAGTCTTTGTGAAAGAAAAACAAAGGCTTGATGGACAGGATTTACTTGTAGGCAGTTTGTTTATGTGCTCAAAAGCACCCAAAAGACAGTTGTGGAAAGAAACACCTGTTGTAGGGTAATTGTATGAAATTATATCTGAATACACTCTTATCTGTGCAGTGGAGTATTTCAGAAAAGAGAAACACCTTTGTATTCAAATAAGTAGGTTGAATGGCTTCATTTCTAATGGGTCATTTGTAATGATTATCATCCATTTTTCTCTTGCATTTAAAAGTTTTTTCTTCATGTCTTAAACTATACAAAGAGAAAAGAAACAGAGATATGAGAGGAAATATGGGAGACAGAAAGAAGGCTTGATTAGAGGATTTGAAAACATAATGAAATAGCAGTCTCTAAATTGGACTCTGGGCTTTGCTCTTGAAAACAACTGTGTACTCAACCCCTCTGCAGCTGAAAAATTGAAAACAGGAAGTGTTTTTGCTTTAGGGGAAAGATGTCGTGTCAACACTAAGACATAAAGTTGGATGAGCTAGAAATAACCCAGATTTTTGTAACTAGAAGAATTATCAGATATTGGGGGTTCCTAGTGTGAAAATGAAATCCCCCTGTTGACTCTCTTTTCCAGGTTTCTAACGTATAAGAAAACATGTCCTGTGTTATTAATGGTTCAGATGTAATGAAGCCAGCCAAAGGCACCAGTACGGTAGGTAGTTACCTGTGCGGTGTGATTTCAGGGATAGCACTTAACTGAAAATATTGCTTTTTACTGAAATGTACAGCTTTACAACCCTTTTTTTTTGTTCTCAAAATGTATATTTAATTAAGCAAGTAAATTCATTAGTAGCTTATTGCTTTAAAGATTCAAACCATAGAGTGGTAACTAGTTAATGAACTAACTTATAAATCCGTCATTAATTTGGCCATATATTATTGCTGATCATTATGACATGACAAGAATTGGCAGGAAAGTCTGGAATACAGGGAGTGTAGTGAGTACAATTAAGAGTATTAGATGCTGGCTGGGCACAGTGACTCACACTTGTAATCTCAACACTTTGGGAGGCTGAAGTGGGCGGATCACTTAAGGCCAGGAGTTCAAGACCAGCCTGGCCAACATGGCGTAACCCCATCTCTACTAAAAATTTTTAAAAATTAGCTGGGTGTGGTTGTGCATGCCTGTAATCCCAGCTGCTCAGGAGGCTGAGGCAGGAGAATCACTGGAAACTGGGAGGCAGAGGTTGCAGTGAGCGAAGATAACGCCACTACAATCTAGCCTGGGTGACAGAGCAAGACGCTGTCTTAAAAAAAAAAAAAA